GCCCAGGAGCTGGAGATCACAAATCTGCAACCAGAGGATGCTGGGAAGTACGAGTGTTGGGCCACCAATTCCATGAGTCAAGAGAGGAAGATCAGGACGTTCTCCATACGTGTGCAATGTGAGTTTATGTCACTCAGTCTTTTCTCTCTCTCTCTCTCTTTTTTCTTAATTCTTTTTTTTTTTTTTTTGGTAAGTGTTTTGCGACGCTCACAACTGCATACGGTCATATGAGCATGCGGGACACATTAAACATTTTTCAGCTGGTAGGAAATTTTGAATTTTGCTCGGGTGGCGGCCGAAGCTTACTCTTATCAATTTTAGGACCACCAACTTGCACACGGGGCCTTCAAGATTTTGTTATCAGAGAAGGCTAGGTCTTTGATTTTACATACCATAAGACCAGGGGTGTGGGTGAAAGACGGCAGTGAGAAATACCAGAGAAGTAGCAGTAGAAAGGCAGCAGAAGGAGTCGGGAGCCCAGAGGAGAAAGCAATGGGGAGGGGCGAGGGGGAAGAAAGTGGAGATAGAAGCAGACGATAGTACATGGCTAGAGAGCAGGAAAGGAGGTGGAAGGGTCTTTTTTCTGTGTGTGTAGCAGACCTTCTACTAACTGTGATAAAATCTGAGTGTTCTGATTTTTTTTCCGTTTCCCCTTTGAAGAGCTCTGACTTGATTTTTATTAAATCCAATTTTTCTTGAATTCTGTTTGCAGCTTATCATGAATAACGTGGAAATGCACATTTTTCTCTAATCTTCAGCATTCATATGACCTAACTGTATTACACAGTGCTTCCACTCTTCCGTATTTTTACGGAAATCCGTACTTTCTGCCAGTTCCGTACTTGTCCCTCCATCGTTATCTACTCCCTCCATTAAAAAAACTGCGACAGTGCAGGACTGCAGAAATTCCGTACTAGCCTTCGTATTGTCTTGTATAAGATACGGATATTTACGGTAATTCTCTCGGCAACAAGTTAACATTATAGAAACCTGCCAAATTGCAGATGGATCAAAATCTGGCGAACTTTTTGTGCCAACTTCCTCCTTTCTGTCATTCACTCATTCCTTTTGTCTATCTTCGGATTGTTGCCGCAGCTGGAAAATCTGCGCGTTGATCAAGACTGATTTTGATCTTAGACAGAACATTACTGTCGGAAAGAAACTTTTTTCGCAAATTTTATCTAGATCTAGAGAAATTATCAATGCGAAGATTCTACGGCACGTGAACGCAATATAAGGGCCACGATGAAAGAAATATATGCTGATACGGTCGTGCCCACTACGGATGGGATCGGCCGATTGCGCTGATCGCCCGACTCGGTCGAACAACCGTGTTTGCTTTGAAACTGAAAACTAACACGTTTGTTTTTGAGGCGATCGAGTCGGGCGATCGGCCGATCCCGTCCATAGTGAGCACCAGGTATAAAATCAAGAATAATTCGAAGTGGTGTTCCGAGGTTGTGACAGGCGACTTTCAGACATGAAAATTTAGAAAAAATGTGGGTATACGCTGCGCAACCGTATTTTGAAGGTACATCTATTCATTATTCCCAGGTTTGCCTGCTGTCAATGGTGCGACTACAAATTAATTGAATTATAGTACCAATGAAAGGAGAACCTGCTTTTAAACATTTCCAGCATTGGAAAGATATGCTGGTGATGAAGTCAAACAAGACAAAATGTTGGTGAAAAAATAAATATTATGGGCTGTAGGCAATATCTTCAAACAGGCTCCCAAATGCCATTTTCTACCCTCTAAAAGCACTGAATTTCACCTGAACCCCCACCGGGACGCTGTCTCTGGACCCTGCTGGGGGCCTTTGCGGCCCCCAGACCCCCTGCAGAATTTTCCTTACTTTTCAGCTTCAGCTGGTGGAAGCACTGATTACAGGTGCCGTAAAACTCTTCCTAAAACAACCAAGACAAAATTCTCTAGTTGTGTACTGTATGAGCACACAAACTTTTTTTTTTTCTGTTTGTCTGTCTGTCTACTCTGAATAATCATTATTGTGTCGATATGCGTCTGATTACTCAAGCTAGGGCACTCATTCTCAGTGATTTTTTTGTGTGTTTCTGTGAGACCAAACAAAGAAAATGCTTTTTCTGAATTATCTCCTTTGTGTTTCAGCAAGACCAGTTTTTCTGAAGGAACCACAGGACGTTGAGATTGGGGTGGGTGGAAACGTAGAATTTGAGTGTGTGGCTGAGGCTAACCCAGAACCCAGTATTGTATGGTTTGTGGATGGCACACCATTTGATAGTAAGTCACCTGTGTGTAGTGAGTCTTGTCTCTGTGTGTCGTGAGTCATGAATGCTTTGTATGTAGTGAGTCATGTGTGTAGTGTGTCATGTTAGTTATGTGTGCTCCTTGAGTTGTGTATGAAGTGAATTACAGTCAAAACTGTGTAAGACAGCCACTTGTTGTTGGAAAAAAGTGGCTGTATTAGACAGCTAGCCATCTCACACAGTGTCGTTATATTGTTTTAAAAAAATAGTCTTGGGAAGAAATACAAAGTGGCCAGTTGTACTGACGATTGTCTTATGCAGGTGGCCGCAAGAGCAAGTTCGACAGTATTTGAGTCATGTTTGTAATGATTTATTATGTTTGTTTTGTATGAGCTGGAGTGTCCAACGTGTGTTGTGTGCATGCAGTTTGTTGTCTATGTAGTGAATCGTTGAATTGTGTTTGTAATGAGTTATTGTGTCTGTTGTATGTTTGTGTAACAGTCCAATCTGTTTAATTAATCATCTGTTTTGTTTGTGTTTGTTGTAAGTCAGATATACTGTGTAGGTGCCACATGTAGGTCTTCTTTTCTTTCCCTCTGTTTTTTCTGTCTGTGGTACCTTTTCCTTGTACTAAATGACCATTATTGTATTAATGTGCTATTCTTTTCTCAAACAGACCTTTTTTCCTCCTCCGTTTCTTTCCCTCTGTGGTTTCTGTCTATCTGCCCTTTTCCCTGCTCTACTAAATTATCTTTTTTGTATCAACGTGTTTCTCTTTACTCAACAAAACAAGCAAAGAAGGTCTGTAGTCTTTCTGTCTTTCTTTCGCCTTGCTTGAAATGTAAAGCTGGATCCCGGTATCGATTCCGTTCACTGCTCGAAACTCCCACTTCCGGGAATCAACTCACAACTCACTTGAGCAACTCAGTGCAATTCAATGACTCAGAGTTGCAGCAAAGATTCTCTACTATGAATTTGAATCTTAAATGTTAAAATGTAAAGAACGCACAGCGGTTTATGACGCCAAGACAAAATACTGCCAGCCGTTCTATTAGCAGCAGTAGATTGCTAGTCCAAAGCCCGTCAGCGAGCAGCGAGTGGCAACACCGGAGATTCACCCCAGAGCAACTCACTAGACTGCTCGCAACTTAGTGAATCGATTCAGAGTTGTTACTATATTTAGTGCGATGGGTGCGAACAGGCCTGCTCGCAACTCAGTGAATTGATTCAGAGTTGTTACTATACATAGGTGCGAACAACAACTCAGTGAATTGATTCAGAGTTGTTACTATACATAGGTGCGAACAAGCCTGCTCGCAACTTACTGAATCGATTCAGAGTTGTTCCTATATAAGCCATATAGCTTCAACTCAGTGTTAATGAGTTAGGCCTATAAATCTGAATTAGGGTTCATTGATGGTTTGGTGCTATGAATTGATGGGAGTCTCTAAGCCTAGGGTGAAAGGTTATAGTGTTAGGTAGGTTAATCTGTCGTTCAGCCATTGAGATGCTGCATGGTTGAAAGAGGCTGGAGGACTAAGGGGTGTCGGTATGTCAACTGGGGATAGGTGTGGGCAGGGTGCGCGCTCGGTGATGGCGTGTGTGATGAGTGGAGGAGTCATTTATTAATTTATGAATGGGCAAACACAGGAAGTGTAGCCTGTCAATAGAGGCAACACATTGTAATGTACTATATGACCATGTGAGCAGTGAGCATAGACCGCAAAATGTTGTGTTGGCTATTTCTAACCCACGCCGTTGGTCGGGCTAGTTTTAAATCTTAGCCAACACGATCGGGCTCTATGGCACATGTGATTAGGGCCACTCATCATAGCTGAGCTAGTCTATGATTGGTTTTGGACTTTAAGATTGTGTTGATGCATGATCAATCCATTGTTTAGACCTACATTTTACGGCTTGGTTGGTGGGGGGGGGGGGCGATAAGCTGATGAAGCGCAGTCGTTACTGACTTTGAAATAAGCTGCAAAGTAAATAAAACACAACGCATAATAAAGTGAAGTTTGAAATCAATGATTACTGTGATATCATAAACTCAGACATTTCACCGTCAACAAACGAAAATAATAGATGTATTTTTTAAATTATTAGGGCTATATCTAATTGAGGCTTTAATAAAAATTGCAGCAGTAATCTTTGGTAATCAACTAATTTTTTCGTCATCATTGTCATCAACAATGGTTGTCACAGTGTCACAGAAATCCACCTCTTTAGCTTTTCCTCATCTGCTCTGCACCTGCCAATGTGTTTGTTGTACGTTCGACTTTCCTAATTTTTTTAACTTACTTGTGTGTGTGTGTGTGTGAGAGAGAGAGAGAGAGAGACTTCTTTTTAAAAGGGTGGAGGAAAAAAAAAAGCAACCCTGTCAGCCTTTGGCGTGAAACAGTATGTGACGTCACTGACGGTGCAAGCCTCAAGCCTGCTCGCAACTCATTTGGAGTGAGCAGCTCACGCTCGCAATTCACCTGAAATTTGAAGAAAACCCAGATCTATTGAAATGGTCGTTGTTAAATTGAAACAAGAAGCTATTTTCGTTGCTTCCCTGTGTGGGTGGTTGGTGGGTGCTCTGGTGTGGTTTGCTCCTTCTTTCCATCAAACATTTGTCGTCCTTATCTCTCCTTCTTCTTTTTTGTGTTTGTTACTCTCTTGCAACCCCTCCAGTCTCCAGCACTGATATACCTTATTGTGCTACAAGTGCCATAAAACTCTTACTAAAATTTGAAAAAACTAAAGTATCCCTTCTTGCCATCCACAGAGCTGGAGGACCCGCGGTTTAAAGGCCGACTGAAGAAGCCCGTAGAAACGAAGCTGTTCATTGAGAATGTGGTACAGACTGATCACATGGTGATTCAGTGCAATGCTTCCAATACACATGGCTATGTGTTTGCTGATGTGTACCTCAATGTGCTGTGTGAGTAGCATGTTTGCTAAGGTGTACCAGGATATGTTGAAAATTTAGGCACAATTGACCACAGATATGTCAAACACATCAGGAGTTGACCTGTGTTTGAGTAAATAATGAAAATGAAAAATAAAAGAGCTATTGAAACAAATCAAGGGCAGTAACTATGGTGATATAATGGTTGGGAAATAAATCACTGCCATCATGAAAAGTACCCTATAATAATAATAAAAGGATAAAAGAATGGATAGTGTGTTCACTTTTTTCGGTGTCAAAGCAAAGCAAAAGAAGAGGATGATGCTCATGGGCCTTACTACATACCTCAATGTGCTATGTACAAGAATTCTTGCTGATGTGTATCAAAAAGTGCGGTGTACACAAATATACTTGCTGATGATTAGCTGAATGTGCTGTGTACATAGCATATATGTGTTACGATGTGGTGGAATCAGGCACTTGTAAATTTTTGGGCAAATGGGGTTATTGGTATCATCTCATAGCCTGTTTATTTGCCTTTGCTTTTGGTGAAAAAATGTCTATCTATGTTGAATAGAAGTCGAAACATTTGCAATTGAAGGAGGTCAGGGTCACCTGGTTTCAGAGGTAGAAGTAGTGAGAAAAAAGCGTCCAAAGCTTGGTAATTTCCATAGCTTGAGAGTCCTTGGAACTTAAAAGTTACTTTTTTTTGTGCCTGTAATCAATATTTTCAGTAAAATCGAAACAGAAATGTGTTTTTAAGTGGATATAGAAAGTATTGAGCTCAACAACAAAAAAGGGAGAAGAAAGTTATTGCCTAACGCCCAGAAAAATGCCAATTTCTTTGATTTCATTATTTTGACAAGCGCCTGAATTCACCATGATGCCTCACATATGTTGATGTGTACCTTTCATCACCATTTATTTGTCCCTCCTCATCTCCCCTCTCTTTTCCACCCCCAAACAGCGGAAGCCCCAACCATTGTTGAACCGCCCAGGGCTATGCAGCTGAGTGCAGAGGGCCAGCCGGTCAACTTGACCTGTCAAGTGACAGGCAAGCCGGACCCCATCATCACCTGGTTCAAGAACAGCGAGCAGATCACTGGGGGCCGTTATGAGATCCTGCCTAATGGGCACCTTCAAATCAGGGTGAGCTGATGGCGTTGTTCCATATGCTGTTGTGTGTGTGTTGGGGGGGGGGGGTATAGGGAAGTTTGCGGCAGAACAGTTTCAAAAGCCTGATGGATAGTAAAGTAGGGGGGGTAGGGCAGGAGGAAGAGGCAAATGTTAGTTAGGGGGGAGGATGCACAATGCACAAGTAAAATAGTGAGTTGTGGAAATGGTCTAGAGGGTTTGCTGTCCACGCAGTAGCAGATGGTTCATTTTTGGAAGTAACAGATTGGTCAGTATGGTGGAATCATAACGATATTTTTAACATCTTACAAAAATACAGTCGTAATAACCCTGATTCCGATTTTTAAGACTTTATTTGCAGTTCCGCTACCCAAACAGAGTTAAGGGGGGGAAAAACAGTCAGACTCAACAGTCTTCATCGGGTCTAACTTAATTTATCTCTGTGCATGGAACCCTTGCTGTCACCCAGTGCCACTTTGCCTTTAGAGAAACGTTAGTTGTGCCACAGTCAAGAGGAAGGAAAAGATTAGGTTGATATTGTGTTAACAAGTTCCTGCACTTTTTCATTGTAATGGCCAAGGCTAATAAAAAGTTATTTTTTTAGAGGGCTCGGTGTTTGAAACTTGAAATAATCCGCTGCGGTGAATAGTATGTTGTGTAGTGATGCACAGTTGGGAATCAAAGGCTCGTGAAGTATTCTGTCATTCGACAGGTTTCTTTGGTTTTAGCAAACCAAATCTGCATTCCCCCCCCCTTTTTTTTTCCCCCTGAAGTAGACACGACAAGACCTCTTGCATCTCGCCTTTGTTTATATTTCATTTATCCTTCAACCTACAACCATGACACCCCAGGGAAAAAGACTAACTATGGCCAAATTCCGAATCTTTAAGCGACATAACTAGTTTTTTAAAATCTGTTGATCACTAAAACATATGCTGGTCGGTGGGCAGCTCCCTGTGATGAGAAGTGGAAGCAGGTGTGGGTTTGTTTTGTGGGCGGGGGGGGGGGGGAGGGGGGGGGTACTTAAACTGTTTACCCAGAGGCGCATTGTTGATCCATGATAAATTGTAATTGAACTAGTTTTTCACTATTTGACCGTTGAGACACTGGTATAATAGAAGGTAAATTTATTTTTTTTTGTCGGTCGTGTGTCTGCTGTGATGTTCTATCCCACTGAGCCCAGATCGGCCCTGAAAAGCAGATTTGAAGCAGCCTGCCTCCCAAACAATGTAAATTGTGTTGATGACGGCATAAAACACTTACGGTAAAGAGTGCTGTACTCCTCCTGCCCCCCGAATGGGTGGATGGTTGGAAGGTGCCTCTGGTGGGTCCTGTTTCTTTTCTTTTCTTTAGTTGTTTCTGTTTGTCTGTGGGGGGTTTTCTTGCACTGAGTGGCTGTTATTGTGTTAACTCTGTGAGCCCTGACCTCCTGAGGTCTCCGTGCCCCTCTGCCGGAGGTTCTGGGCGATTCACACCTTCATTCATATCATCATCAAAATCACTTTCCATATCCCACTCAGGGTAGTCTTCGTCATCACCAACATCTAATTCAGTAAGTTCTTCAAAATAATCAATAACGTCCTGTGTAGTAATCACGGTTTCCTGCGTGAGTTTTGTCCACTACATGCTGGGTTGGGGAAAGGGTCTCGCTCACCGTTGTACCGGTGGCTAGGCATGTGGGCAGTTTTACACGCCACTGGTGTACCGGTGGCAAAGGCTCAAAGGGTTAATGGGCTTCTGTTTACTCATTCATGCTTATCTCTTCTACCCTCAGAGTGTGGTCCTGGCTGATGCGGGCCACTACCGCTGCCAGGCGCAAAATCGCTTCAACTCAACCAGCGCAGAGGGATCACTGGTCGTACGACGTAAAACCCAAATAGAGCAGCGACCCGGTGACCTTGAGGTCAACGCGGGCAAGGATGGCAAATTCACCTGCTCTGGCACCACTGACCCAGAGGAGGTGAATAACTTGCGGATCGTCTGGTACAAGGACGGTAAGCCGATCACAGCCAATGACCAGCGGATGACCACCAACAACCAGGACAACTCTCTGACCATTAGCGGAACCATTGTCCGAGACTCTGGCACATACACCTGTGTGGCCACCAATGGGCTTGACCAATCATCAGCCTCCGCTGTGCTCACGGTCAAAGGTTAGTTGGTTTGTTTGTTATGTAGTGTGTCGTTGTAAAATGTTTATAAGTAGTGCCCCCGATATTCACAGTTTCAAAAACAGCTGAAAAATTACTTGTTCACAGGTACATACTTGTCATAACAGAATAACGTTACATTTTCTGGTACATGTATATGCATGCCTGATTGTAAAACTGCAGGAACAGCATGTGTAAATGAGAGAGAGAGAGAGATAAACAACAGATGTTTTATTCTGTCTCTAGTCAATCCGGTAGTTTTATTGTGACCATGAGTTTTTATTGTATTTTGCATTGTTTTTGTATATGCATAATCATTGCCAGGCTTACAGTACTTACTGCGTGACAAATTTTTGTATACATGCTTATGTACATAATATTATGTTCTACATTTTCATCTGTCAAATTTTATTGAAATATGATGTCTCTTTGATGGCAATTCGTATTGAGCATGTTTAAAAAATAAAAAAGCTCAGCAAATATGCCATTTATTATCATTAGTTTTATGATAATCCTCGGGTGGTTGGAAAGTGAAGATTAGAGGGTCCTGCTTCTTTGTTCTATTATATTGCTAGTTGTTGGAGGGAGCCACAGGAAGGTCCTATTTCTTTCCTTGTCAATTTTTTAGTTATTGAGCACTTACTCAGCTGTTTGAACTGTGTGCTTCCTGGAAAGAGGAGAATTTCTCTGAGTCTGGGTCTGCTGGGATAACAATAGTTATAAAACACATGAAGCATGCTGCTGAGTACTGTTTTACGCTATACATGTGTAAATACAATTATTATTATTATTATTCTTTCCTCCCTGCCCTGTTGTTTCTGTCTGTCTGCCTTGACCGATCAGAAGCCTCCTCTGTGCTCATGGTCAAAGGTCAGTTTGCCTGTTTCTCTACTCAAACATCCTATACCATTTCATCTCCAGCTTCTCTCCTGGTGTCATACTCACCAATATACCCCCTCTCTCCCCAGACCGGCCGGACGCCCCCTCCAAAGTGTACCATGAGTACTGTAACAAGAACGCCACGCTCCACTGGATGCCGGGCAGCTACAACAATGCTCCAGTGCAGTACTACGTCCTGCAGTACAATACCTCCTTCAACCCAGACCAGTGGAACTTCGGACTCAAAGTAAGAAGCTACCTCCTCTGCCTAACCCCCCCCCTCTAATATAATCACACGTCACACTTGCTGAAAAGTGAATATTGAATAATGAATAACAAATGTTTCTAATGGACTTCTATGTAATATATTTTTTAAAAACCATTGGCACTCTGTATTCCAGTAGCATGAATAGTGGCTTTGCTTTTTCAAGAGTCAATGAAGTTTTGTTCCCTCAAATCACACAGCACTAGAACATGACACATGACTTTGTGGTTGTCCCCAGGTTAATGCGACCTTAAACAAAGTGAACATGACTCTGTCTCCGTTTGTGGACTACACATTCCGTGTCATCGCCTACAACAAGATCGGGCCTAGCGAGCCCAGTTTCCCCTCCAAGGTTGTCTGCACCACCAAGCCTGACCGGCCATCTTTTCATCCCCGCAACCTGCGCACATTAGGCCACCAGCCTGGGAAGTTGTACATAGAGTGGACGGTGAGTGTGCATGCAGACCCAAACCCTCTGACATACACACACAGACATGCCTGCATGTACAGACACAGATACACACGCATACACACCTGTGCTCTCTCAATCACATCGCCATGCATACACAGATATGTGCTAACACAAGCACAGACAGACAGTCAGATATGCACTCACGCACACATATGCACAAGTGCTCAAACAATCAAACCCAAACTTTCATTTGTCTCGTATCTCTGTCTGGTTTGGTGTTGGGTTTTTTTGTTTTTGTTTTTTGTTCTGATGTGTAGGTGTATGGAGGTAGCCGCTGGAAGGTCCTACTTCTGATTTTCCTGTCTGGGTTGTTTCCTGCGGCTAAAGACTGATATTGTGTCAATATGATTATCTTTACTTTAACAAACAAAACAAGACACAAAGCATATGCATGTCTCTTGTCTATGGTCTGTTTGTTTATTTGTCTGCCAGACACAAACTACTTGTGTATGCTCTGTTCTTCGGTCTCTGTTGGATACAAAGTGCGGATGGTTGGTGGATGCTCTCCTTTTTTCCTATTAAATATTTATCAGCCTTATCGCCCCTGATTTTTTTCGTTGTAAGTTACTCTCTGGTAACATCTCAAATCTTCTTCACTGATATAACCTAATTGTGTTGCAAGTGCTGTAAAACTCTTACTAAAACTATTTTTTTTAAAACTAAGATGCAAAGTTGTGATGGAAATATGTATGGTGTATATGACTCAAAGCTATGGCATGTCTCTTATCTGTATTTGTATTTCTCCATCAGACACAAAGCAAAAAATATAGTGATGACATAATACATTATATGACATTGTCCTCTCTCCTGGCAGCCAATACCCCCTCTCCAACAGAACGGGCTGGGTTTTTACTACAGCCTGCAGATTCTGCGTGAGGGTGACTCAGAGGAGCTCGGCTTACAGACCTTCAAAATCAACGACTGGGAGACAAGCTTCAAAGAGATTAGCACGGGGCGAGTCTACGAGCCCTACAGGATCACCATGAAGGCCGGGAACAATCTCGGGGAAGCTAAAGAGAATGCACCCACCATTACTGGGTACAGCTACGAGAGCTGTAAGTCATGTTAAGGGTTGTTTGCAGACCTGCCAAGATCTCAGATAAATATGAGTACTCCTATTGTTTGTCTTTTTGTTGTGGTTTTTTTTTTTTTTTGTTTTTTTTACAAAATCTTTTTCTTTTCTTGAATTCCATTTCTGTCAAGTTCTAAACGACGCACAATATGTGATGTGAAAGTAACCATTTTTATTTGCAATATTTGCCCCACTTGTCGTAAGAGACATGATAATTCACTTTTTTATCGCATTTCTTTGTATGTGTTTACTGTGGTTATGAAGACATTTTATTTCTCTCAAACTGCTATTGCTTTTGAGAAGATTTTGAGGAAAACTCTTATTTTACTTCTTAAAGTTGTTGGCAGGTCTGTGGACGTGATGTCATGGGGCATGACTACAAGATAGGGCACAGCTATGAAACCTGTTTCATAGGTTGTATGATATAGGGCAATGCTATGAAAGCCACAAGTTAAGTCTTAAGGATATCAATGAGAGCTGTATGTGATGTCATAGGGCACAGCTACAAGCCCAGTCAGAGTTGTCCGACATTGTGTATCGTACATAATGTGAAGCAGTGAGATACAGTAATATTAGTCCATCAACATTCACATGTTTACAATACTGTTGGTATATCTACATAATGTTTTCGACAGTCTTGATGTCATTTGAGTACACCTGGGAAGGGAGGTCAAGAACTTCTGTGAGGTTCTTTTCTCGTCTAGCTCCATATATCTGGGAACCCCCCCCCCCCCCCCCCAACATTTGAGGGAATACAAAATCAGGGGCAAAGTATAAAATTCATTTAAAAACAGTCTATGAAATGCGATCTTGATACTCCTTCTTATAGATAGTACTTTTACGTTCCGTTCATAATGTGATGAACATATCGTCACTGGTTATGCAGTGATAATATGAATGTCTGCTTATACATTAGCTTTAATCTAATTAGCATATGTGTCACGACTTGGTGGAATCAGGCGCTCGTCAATTTTTGGACATGTGGAGTTAGTAGTATCATCTGAAAGCTTATTCATTTACCTTGCTTTCAATGGGAAAAAAACACCCATCTATCTTGAATAGAAGTCGAAATATTTGTGATTGAAGGAGCTGGAGGTAGCATGTTTTCAGAGGTAAAATCATCAAGAAAATAGCTGCCAAAGTTTGTTAACTTCTATAGCTTGATAGTCCTTTAAAACTGAACATTTGCATTTTTTGTGCCATTAATCAACGTTTTTCAGTAATAATCACAGGGAAATGTGTTATAGTTTCGACATAAAAAGTGTTGAGCGAAAAACAAAAATTTGATAAAACTTGCCGAACTGGAGGAAAAAGGCCTGTTTCTTTGATATCATTATTTTGAAGAGCGCCTGTTTTCACCACAATGCCTCAGTATGTAAGCTTGTTCATTCACTTGTATTTTGTATTAAGATTAAGGTATTGTTAAGTGCCTAGAGCTGTTTTGTACAGGAGGTAGCACTATAGATATTATCTGCATTATTGTTACTAATTTTTATTGTTACATGTACTTAATGTTTACATTATTCTGTATGTGATATTTGTGCAGACCCAGTAATTTCCCCAACCAATATTCAAGTGATTGAGATTGGTGATACATACGCTGTCTTCACCTGGGATTTCTTGAAGAGTGAGATTGGCAAGAGGAACACCAAGATCAGAGGACAGTTTATGGGTTTTAAGGTATGTGGTCAGTGGATGATTTTGGGGCTGTAAGTGTAAGTTATTCGTGAATAATTTAGGGGCTATAAGTGTATGAAGTCATAGAATAGTTGTGGATAGTTTATGGGCTGTAAGGTGTGTGGTTGGTGGATAGTTTATGGGCTGTAAGGTGTGTGGTTGGTGGATTGTTTGTGGGCTGTAAGGTGTGTGGTTGGTGGATTGTTTGTGGGCTGTAAGGTGTGTGGTTGGTGGATTGTTTGTGGACTGTAAGGTGTGTGGTTGGTGGATAGTTTATGGGCTGTAAGGTGTGTTGTTGGTGGATAGTTTATGGGCTGTAAGGTGTGTGGTTGGTGGATTGTTTGTGGGCTGTAAGGTGTGTGGAAATCAAATAGTTTATGGGCTGTGAGGTGTGTAACTGTGGATTGGTTTTGGGCTGTAAGGTGAGTGCTACCACTAAAATATTTGGTCAAACTATAAACAAATGTAAGCTAACAAAAAGAAGAGTCAACAAGCAAACATAAGAAAAAAACAAACAAGCAAACAAACACAGAAAAGAGTCCCCAGCTCTGGGCTTACTGGGTAGCACACAGTTTTTTTTTATGGCAGGGTGACTACCAGGCCCCAGGAATGCCCCGCGAATTTTAGGAAATCTGTAAATTGCCCCGGGAAAGACCTGGGAAAATGAATAGAGTTCTCGAACATTTGAAAACCAAACCGGATAGCGTCCATGGGTTCATTTTTGCTGGTCGCAATTGTGATTTTCATTCGGCTTTTCCAGGTCTGAGAGTATGTTTCATGGGAACAGGCGGCTATGGCGGCCAGCAGAAGTGTATGTGTGATTCCGAAGCTCGATTTACTTTCGCTTTCGTTACCACCCGGAAATTTGCCAGTAGCAGTCTGATTAATGCTACATTTGCAACATACAGGTTACGCATTACAAACGTTGGGTCGCAATAAAAATAAATCAATATTTGTCCTGTGCTATCACTTGCGGAAAATAAAAGAAAACTATACAAGCGTCTTGTCGGGCTCGCCATTGTGACCGGTCAGTGAACCTGTGCGTTCACATCACATTGTGAGTACCGGTGATCGTTGGGGTTGCCAAAGTTCTTTCAAAGTCTGAGCGCTGCAAAGTATAGGAATGTGGGGATTATTGATTTTTTTTTTAAGATACAGGCGGGGGAGGGGTGGGGTTGAAGGCAACACCAGATGACAAAAACTGAACTTTTAGACAAATTTTAGTATTTAGAATTTTGATTATTACTAGAGCTTTCTGCAAAGCGTGCATTGAAGCAGGCCTTGTGTGGAATCGGGATTGGTCATACTCATACCTTGTAAGTCGTGTTTTTTTTAGCAAAAGGTTCACGTTTCACTGGATGGGTGATAGTACGTTTGTTTCATTGTCTTTGGTTGTTGTTGTTTTTTTTAGAGAAGTGTGACCTCGTCAAGTGCATACTTTTTTCTTCTCTCTCTCTCTCTGTCTCTCATTCTCTCTCTCTCTCTGTCTCTCATATTCTCTCTCTCTCTCTCTCCCCCCCTCTCTCTCTCTCTCTCTCCCCCCCCCTCCCCTGATAGTAAATTACACGTGCTGTGTATCTATGTTTTAGCTTTCTGTTCAAGATTCACAGATTTTCAGTGTCACTGCATCTTGCCCTCCCACAGTTCTTACACCTCTCACACTGAATAGGTCCACTTGAGCCATTCAAGTTATTACTCTACTTTGAGTTTGAGCAATAATTTTTTTTTTCACTTTTATCATATACATCTTGACACCCAAGCTGGTTCTTGACAGCCGATATTCTGGTTCTAGGCCTTTTCTCAGGCTCAAAACAAGATTCATTTTTATATAATTTATATAGTCGTATATGATGAGGGGAAAATATAAATAAGGAAGTACAGACTGAAATAAGTAAGTCTCACAGTATCCCAGTGCCACGCTGACAGGTTGTTGACTGGATATAATGTACCTACATGCGTGGTGTATGTGTATAAATGGAGCACGCGCTGTCCATGTTATGTAACATGCCCCTGGAAAATGGATGTCCCCCCGCCCCCCCCCCCCCCCCTGGAAAATTGAGAAGCTGGGTTGGCAGTCACCCTGTTATGGGCTGTGAGGTATATGGTTAGTTGATCTCTCATGAGGACTGCAATGTTCAGTTGTTTGTTTTTGGGTCTGGTCTGCAGATTCAGTTCTGGGAGGAGAACTACAAGATTTTCACCATCCGCGAGGAAGACATTGGCCCAGACTCTGCTACCAACACGACTGGCAACACGTTCAGGGCACGTGTCGAAAACATGCTACCCAACACACGCATGGAAGCACACATTGCTGTGATGAATAATTTCTACATCGGGACTCCGACTGACTCTGTGAGATTCAGGACGCTACGTGGATGTGAGTAGGCTAGGTCTCTCTCTCTCTTTCTCTCTCTTTCTCTCTCTCTCTCTCGCTCTCTCTCTCGCTCCCTCCTTCCCTCCCCTCCCCCGTCTCTCTCTCCCTCCCTCCCTCCCCCCCCCCCCTCTCTCTCTCTCTCTCTCTCTCTCTCTCTCTCTCTCAACCTCTCTGCTCTCCATATTTCAAAAACACATGCATTTTTCTGACTTTTCTTGCCTTTTCCTAGCACTTGATGACCCTTGTTGTTTTTATGTGCTTTTCTTTTCTGAAAAAAACAAACCCAAATGAAAGCGACCCAAGTTGCTAAAGTATATTCAGAGTTCTCTGTAGACTATTACTAATTCCTCCTCTTGTCCCCAGTCCCTGGTCCAGTCCAGTACTTCCGGCCAATCAACATCGGGGACACTCACGTGAACCTGGAGTGGGGTGCCCCTGAGGAGAACCGCGGTGACCTTGAGGGATATGATATCAGCTACAGGCTCGGTAAATGCTGCATGTCTCTGAATGTTCTGTCTATAAGGTGTTAGCTTTGTGTTCTGTATTTCACTTTAGTTACATGCTTAGTATATTGTTGCTCCAGGATTCTAAACAGCTAACTCAGTTTCTGTAAATTTTACAGTGAGTGTAAAAACTAAAAAGTAAGGCTATTACACACATTTTTGCTCTTTAGAATCCAACCGTTTTGCGACTATTTGAAAAAGTTAATTTGGCTGAAAATTATTTATAGGATGTGATGTGTGACGTTAGTCAAAATTCAGGGAACAAAACTAAAAACTGTATTTTCGGAGTTACATGCTTAAAACCTGCAGCGGCTATATATGATATAATTGTACATTTTGTGCGGGAATGTTTTCTACCTTTTCTGCACAAATACCATAAAACTTTTACTTAACCTACCAAAACTAAAAAAGTGTACCGTATTGATATTGCAGTAAACGGTCTGGACCTCGGTGAGATGCAGGAAAGAGAACCCCAGATCAACGACCCCTTTGCCACCAACAGCTACCTCAGTGGACTGAGTCCCCGCTCCAAGTACCGCATCTACATTTATGCCCGTACGGTCAAAGGTCGCGGGGAGAGTTACTTCATCGAGGTCATCACCGGAAAAGCAGGAAGTAGGTCGCGTCAGGTCTTTCTCTGCTTCTTAGCAGCACTGAAAGCTCCTATCTGTCTGTCTGTCTGCCTATTCTGCATTTTAACAGAACTATAATTTTCTGTCTGTTTCTCTGTCTGCTGGTCTATTTATCTCTTCATTTTTAATGGAACTGGCATGGCAGTTTCTGTCTGTCCGTCTGTCTCTTTCTCTGTCCTATCTGTCTGCTTGTCTATATTTTAAAGGATTTGGAAGTTCATATTGTCTGTCTCTTGTGTTTTAGAAAAACTGAAGGTTCCTGTCTGTCAATATGTTTGTCTGTCTCCGTGCTTTAGCAACACTAAAGACCTGTGCTTTTCTATGTTCGTCAATCTGTCCATATGTTAAACACATCTTATACCCCCGGAATGGTGCCACTGACTGAAGTATCTTTAGGCCATTCCCAAAGGGGGGACATTTCTCATTCATGCCCAGTAGAATTGTAAATGGGCTGATTCATCAATGTCTTGCTCATAACTGTGCCTGATCTACAATAAGGAACTGCTGCTTTTTCTTTCCTTATTCTTACTATTGTCATTTTCCTCTGCTTCTTTTGTATGTTTGTCACACTCTTGTGACCCGCTATTTCCGGGGTTCCTTGAAAGTCGAAACAGACTTTGTGCTGTTGAAGCTAGAGAGGTGAGCAGAGTAAGCCTGATTCCCTGTAAAGACTTCTCTGTTGACATCCACCCCTTGGCGCTCATATGACTTTATGCAGTTGCGAGTGCCGTAAAACCTCCACTAAATGAAAATAAAAAAACACATCTTATCTTTTTTCCACAGCCCTTTTCTTTCTGTCTGTTATTTCTGTCTGTCTTACTTGGCCCATGCACTAAATGATCGTTATAATGTTGATGTGCTTCTATTTACTCAAACAAAGCTCCTTCCCCCCTCCCCGTCTTTTATTTCCCCTCTGTTGCTTTTGTCTACTTGTCTCATTTTTTCCCTACACTACATAACAGTTATTATGTCTATGTGTTTCTCAAGCAATGTTTTCTCCCCATTTTCTTTCCCTCTTTTGTTTTTGTCTACTTGTCTTACTTTTTCCTTGGACTAAATAAGTCATTGTGTCAATGTGTTCCTTTTCCTTCCCTCTGTTGTTTCTGTCTGTATGTATGTCTTACTTTTCCCTCCCCTGCTCCAGATGAGCATTATTGTATCGATGTGCTTCTCATTATTTTTGCTCTATGCAGATGTTACTGGATCACATGCCCCCTTCTTCTTCTGTTCATCTGTCTTAACTTTTTCCCAACTCCAAATAATTGTTATTGTGTTCATGTGGTTCTCTTTACTCAAATTAAGCACTTTTGTTTGAGGCTACCACTGATGGGATGAATGAGTGGAAAGCGTCATTGGTAGGTCCCGCTAGTCCCGCTTCTTTTCTTTCCTCCTGTTGTTTCAGTCTTTCTTTCCTCCTGTTGTTTCTGTCTGTCATAATTTTCCCAGCCCTAAATGATCGTTGTTGTGTGGTGTCGATGTGCTTCTCTTTATTCATAGTTTGAGGATGCCACTGGAGGGGTAAATGGGTGGAGAACACCACTGGTAGGTCCTCCTTCTTTTCTTTCCCCCATGTTGTTTCTGCATATATGTCGTAATTTTCCCCAGTGATGACTGACCGTTATTGTATCAATATGCTTCTCTGAACTCATAACCAGTGTTTCTTTTTTTTTGTTTGTTACTTTCTTGTAACACCTCTAATCTCCGGCACCTATATGACCGAATCATTTTGCAAGTGCCGTAAAACTCTTGCTAAAACTAAAGCAACATATAACCACCTCATAACCCTGCCTTCCCCTCCCCCTTTTTCAGCCCCCAGGATGCCCAGCTTCAGCATTGTGTCCGTGGGTAGTCACAACATCAACATCACGTGGTGGATCAACGCCTTCGCAGACTCTGGCACCGTGGTCTTTGTGGAGTACAGAAAGCTAGGTCCGTCCTACTGTGTATTTGGTCACTTGTGTGTGAGGTGGAGGTGTGGTTATTTTAATAATGTGTGCGTATGTGTTTGTGTGTATGTTGATGCCTGTCTTCTTAGTGGAGTACACAAAGCTAGTTCGTCCTGCAGCCTGCTCGGTTAGTTGTCGAGTTGGGGCGAGCGGACAGACGGGTTCATTACTCGCGGACTAAGTCAGAGCGACTGGGTAACGGACGACCGAGCGAGCGGACTGCGAACCTCATGACAGTTGTTTTTTTGAGCAGGAGTGTGAACAGACGAAACTCTAGCAGACGAGATACTCGACGCGATGATAGGCCCATTGTCTATTGTTTGTTAATTAGGCCTAATGTTGCATGCCACTAGCAGTGCCACTGGGAGTGAGAGAGGCTGGTGACATAGTACTATGTGTGTAACCTTTTACTTTGTGTGTGGGCACACTGTGTACGTTCCAATTTATCATTAAGCAAATTTAAAGAATTCCCAAAGGCTGGGGTGGAGGGTGTCGAAAATTTCCGCCGCGAACACCTAGCTACAATGTGGGGCAGGAGAATTTTTTTTTTTTCCGAGGGGGCGGGATGTAAGTAGTATGCAATGGAAGGAGTCGCTCCCCGTCCACCCGCTCGAATGCATTGAGTCTCTCCGTCCACCCATCCGCTCACTCGCTAAACGAACTTTTGTCTGTCCTATGTGTACCGAGTAGCAGCGAGTAACAAACTAGTCTTCACAAGCGTCCGCTCGTTTGCGGGTGGTGCCAACGAGTAGTTCGTTACTCGCGGACACTGATTTAGCGAGCCGGACCTAACTCTAGTCAGTTGTCTGTGTGTTATAATTGTGTGTAAATTTTGTGTGTATGTTGATTGACATGTATCACTATTCGCACGTTGTGACGAACTTACCTGTGTCAATTTGTAGGCATTGGTATTGCCATATTTTTTTGTATGACTTTAGTGGATGTTGTAATTGACATGTGTCAGTCAGTATGTTTTATAACTGATAAGTGTCAAAATATGTGTGTTGTGACTGATGTGTGCTCATTCTGTGTATTGTTATTATTGATGTGGATCTCATAGTGTATAGTGGGTGATTGGCGGGTGCTCTGGTGTTGTTCGCTCTTTCTTTCTTATCAGGCATCTATAGTCCTTATCTCTACCTTTTTTGTTTTTGTTTCTCTCTTGTAATGTCTCTAATCTTCCTTACTTATTTTACCTGATTGTGTTGCAAGTGCTGTAAAACTCTTACTAAAACTAAAAATAGCGTATTATGCATAGGGATTGATTTATGTCAGGTAAGATATTGCAACTGACGCGTGTCACTTTGTGTGTCTCCGTCCAGATGGTGCAGAATGGCTGCGAACAACGGATGAGGTGGTACACACGTGGAAAAACATTGAGAATCTGGAGGCTGGCACCAAGTACGAGATTCGCCTGAAGACCACGAACGGGGTTACCAGCGTGGCCTCTGGCATTGATGAAGTGACCACTGATGGGACAGGTGAGTGGGGGTCATGACCCCATAGAATGATGAAGTGGCCGGGGGGAGGGGTTATGGGGTGTGGTCCTTCCTGTAGATTGATGAAGTGACAACTGATGAGACAGGTGAGGTGGGGAGTTGAGGGTGCCATCAGTGTTATGAGAGGAGGGGCATTTTGTGTTTTAATGGAGTCATTTGTGGATGGATTGGGGGAGGTGAGTCCTATGGATGAAGTGTGTCTTTATACAGGGTGAATGAAGCCATTATGTAATTTTTTTTAATTCCTTTAAAAATTAAAAAATTT